GGACTTGGGCTGCTGACGGGCTTTCTCGGGGTAGACGTGCTCTCGTGGCCAGCCCAGGAAGTCGTGCAAGGGGTTGTTGTTCTGCACCGCCTCCAGTTAGGTCCTGGGAAAAGGCGGCGTGCTCTCGCGCGCCACCCCGGTGAGGTTCCTTGGGCCTTCTTGGAGGCGCGGCAGGCTCAGGATGCGTCTGTTTGTCCTATGGACAGGGGTTGCCGAGCAGCGCGGGTTCCGTGGGCACCGTTTCCCTGCGTCTGCTGTGAGGCGAGGCGAGGCGCGTACTCGCGCGGGCGAGGTGGCGTCCGGCACCCCACGAGCGGAAGGCGAGAGAGAGAATGTCGGAGCTGCGTGGCTCTCGGGTCGGCTCTGCCGGGGCGGCCTGAGGACAATGGAGAGACCAGAGCTCGAGTGGAAGGCACAAGGAGGCGAGCGAGTGCGAGACTGGGACGGCCCAGGGACACGCAGGGGCCCACCAGCATCCAGCCCGAGCTGGCGGCGTCTACCGGTTCCCTGGGGGACTCATGAGCTCAGACCCATGGTGGCGAGGCAGTGGCGTCTCACCCTTTTTGTGACCGGCCCTAAACCGGAGCCCGTGCGGCGGGCAACGTTGCGGGCAGCGGTGGCCGGGCTTTGGTGGTGGAGCCCATGCGGGCTTCTCCCGGTCGCCTCCCGAGAGCCCCGAAGATGGCCCGGGTCGAGGTGGCGGCACCCTGTCCTCCGTCGTCAACTGCGGCAGTGTCGGCGGTGTGGTAAGGACTGTCGGTGGGCGTGCGGCCTTGCCTCGGCCCAGCCAGTTGCCGGAGGGGCTCGGTGACGGGACTGCCCGTTTGTGGGCCGGGCGGTGGCAGTGCATGTCTGGGCCCTTTTTGAGCTCACCCCCTTCCTCGGCACTAAGCCGAGGACCCGCCAAGTGGGCCAAAGACAATGGCACCAGCCGGCCAGCGTGGCCGGCGGCCGTATGTGCAGACCGAGAACCCGACAGAACGTGGGGGCGCTGTCCGAGGAGGGTCAGCAGCGTTGGGGTCCAGAGCTGGGCGTTCGGCGGCATCTGTGGCTCGCCGGCCGTCTCTTTGTCCGGGAGCGCTTGATCATGTGTGGTGGCGGCCGCCGGTGCCAGTGGCCCTCGGATGCGTTGTCCTCCGCAGTGGCAGTCCCATCGTGGCTGTGGGAACGTTTCATTTTTGCAATGGATGAGGCTTTTCGGGAAACTTGGGAAAGGGCCCCTGGCAGACCAGTGCTCCTCTGTGGCCGGCCTTGGTGCAGCAGAGGCCAGTGTTCAGGCCGGGCAGTCTCCTTTGCTGTCAGTTTCCCGTGGCAGGCAAGGTGTCATGGAAACATGCCGACGAGCGCCGACCTCCGGGGACGCATACATTTATCAGACCAAAGCCAACCCAGACCCACCCGGCAGCTTTGGTGACTCTAGATAACCTAGAGCCGATCGCACGCCCCCGTGGCAGTGACGACCCATTCGAATGTCTGCCCTATCAACTTTCAATGGTACTGTCTGTGCCTACCCTGGTGACCACAGGTGACGGGGAATCAGGGTTCGATTCCGGAGAGGGAGCCTGAGAAACAGCTACCACATCCAAGGAAGGCAGCAGGCGCGCAAATTACCCACTCTCGACCCGGGGAGGTAGTGACGAAAAATAACAATACAGGACTCTTTCGAGGTCTTGTAATTGGAATGAGCGCACTTTAAATCCTTGAGCGAGAATCGATTGGAGGGCAAGTCTGGTTGAGAGCTCTTTCTCGATTCCGTGGGTGGTGGTGCATGGCCGTTCTTAGTTGGTGGAGCGATTTGTCTGGTTAATTCCGATAATGAACAAGACTCTGGAATACTAACGAGTTACGCGACCCCCGAGCTATCGGCGTCCAACTTCTTAGAGGGACAAGTGGCGTTCAGCCACCCAAGATTGAGCAATAACAGGTCTGTGACGCCCTTAGATGTCCAGGGCCGCACGTGTGCTACACCGACTCGTTCAACTTGTGCCTACCCTCCGCCGGCAGGTTGAACCCCATCCGTGATGGGGATCAGGGATTGCAATTCTTCCCCATGAACGAGGAATTCCCAGTAAGCTCGTTTGATTAAGTCCCTGCCCTTTGTACACACTGCCTGTCGCTACTACAGATTGGATGGTTTAGTGAGGTCCTCGGATCGGCCCCAGCGGGGTCGGTCATGGCCCTGCCGGAGCATCGAAAAGAAGGTCGAACTTGACTATGTAGAGGAAGTAAAAGTCGTAACAAGGTTTCCGTAGGTGAACCAATGTCAAACCTTACCCCTTACCCTTGGCAGCCAGAGAAGCAATCACTTCAGTTTTTTGGAGATTGAATAGAAAGAGGAATAGTGATTGCAACACATTCTCCTTACAATTCTCCCGTGTGGCCCGTTGTAAGGGGGGTACTTTTGATTTAGATGATCAATGGAGCATAGAGGGGTGAGAAAGTGATTGTATTAGCATGTGAAACCAGCCATTGTACAATGTAACTTTACTGCACAAGTTGACTGTAAGGTCCATTGTGCTTTTAGCAAAGTTAACTAGTTGTCCCTTAGTATCGTAGCTGAGTTCCTCTTTTGCAAGATAGATACAAATACCCTTGGAACACAATGGTAGAGGTTGTACATAGGGGTGAGGTAGGTGATGGAGAGAGGAAGATGATGTGGGCAGAGGTCATTCGCCCCTTGCCCTGCAGTACAGTATGTGCAGACTGTTGCCATGAGGTGATGAACAGGCGCTGTTTGGTTGCCACTCAAACATCACCTTATACTGTGTCCTGGCCCTACGTAGTGTAATGCAGAGCTGATCAATGGGGTGTCAGGACTGCTGGGTCGAGTGATGTTCATCCTTCCATCCACACTGTGTTGCTCCGCGGGGACGCCCGCTAAGCACGGGTACCGACCAGCCCCTGCAGATCCTGGTAGCCCTGGTCTATCTGTGCAGGTAAGCACAGTTTATTGATAGGAAGCATACCGAGAAAGCAAACATTTTATATCCTTTTTCTTGTATGCCTTTAATTAACTTTTTACTAGCTTATATTGTATCCCTTTAATTCCCCTTTTACTAGCTAATACTGTAATAGAGGCTGTTCATAGTATTGTATGAACACCAATAGATAAGGTAGGGTTTTTTGTATTCTTATTTAGCTTTTGATTCTCTTTGCTAATAGTTTTTTTACACTCACTGCAATCAAAGATATTTTGTAGTGTTTGAATGACTGTTGTACTTGTCTTTATTCCGGACATGTATCCTAACACACTGGGACATCCATCCGTAGCCAAATGGTCACTGGAGGCTGACGGGAGACTCCCCAAGTCTGAACACAAATAGGGGCCCCTCACTGCAGCAATCCCAAATACAGCTGAGTTCATAGTTACCATCCAAGAACAAACCCATCAAATTATGGACACTATTGACATCAAAGACATGGTTTTTATGGTTCCCCTGCAGGAACAGGGTCAGGAGTGCTTTGCTTTCACGGGGGAGGGCCAGCAATGCACTTTTACCCGTCTCCCACAAGGATTTAAACACTCACCCACTCTAGCACATCATGCACTGGCACAGGAACTGTCACTCATTCCTCCTGCACCAGCACTAACAGTGTACCTATATATTGATGACAGTTGGGTAGCAGGAAAGGAAATTGCACCTGTGCAAACAACCCAAACAGACATTATCAGGCGTCTTGAGTCCCTGGACTTACATGTCCCTCCTGAAAAGGTACAATCTCCTTCACAAGAAGTAAAATTCCTGGGAATTTGGTGGAGGGGAGGAATGCTTTGTATTCCCCCAGACACGCTCACCTGCCTACACCAACTTAAACCACCAGAGAATAAAAAGGATTTGCAGCATGCTTTAGGCCTGCTGATCTTCTGGAGAAAACACATCCCCCATTTTTCAATAATTGCATGACCCTTACATGATTTGTTGTGGAAAAAAGCAAGGTGGGATTGGACCCCCTTCACGAAGAAGCCCCACAACTCTTGATTTTTGAGGCCAACACACACCACTCACTAGGCCCCATACACCCCACCGATCCAGCACAAACTGAGGGGGGATTTGCAAGCTCCAGACTGTCCATACACTGATGGCAGAGAGGCCCTGATGGTCCCACCAGGCCTGTAGGGTTTTATTCACGCCGTGTCAAAGATGCCCCTGGGAAAAGGGCTTATTTGTGGAGAGCACTGCTTTTGTGGAGCGAAAAAAATTGTCCCTGAGCAGTCTCTGATTTTAAGGGGACCCTTTAAGGTCATCAAGCTTGTTTTGACAGGAACCCCACCCCCTGACAGGGTGGCCCAGCCGGCTCCTGTTGGGAAATGGAATGCTCAAATTGGACATTATTGCACCATCTTTCAGGGAACAGAAGGAGCTCACAAAAATCCTCCCTGACAAGATGAGGTGACTGTAAATAGCACTGCTGATTCTCCCCTTCTGTGGTTCAAGTGGCACCCCCCACACTCAGAGCAATTGCAGAATGGGTGGTTTACTGATGTCTCAGCTGTGCTGAAGGGGAAGTTTGGAACTATCGTGCTGTGGCTTTACAGGTAAATCCAGGAGACAAAATAGTACCGGAAAGAGAAGGCAGTGCACAGGCAGGAGAATCAGGAGCAGTTTGGAGGGTATTTAACCATGAAGCTGAAACCTCTGACTCTATATGTTTGCACGGATTCTTTTGCTGTGTTGAAAGGGTGTACTGAGTGGCTCCCCTTCTGGGACAAAAATGACTGGGAAGTGAATTGAATCCCTGTTTGGCAAAAGGAGAAATGGCAAGAAATTCTTGCTCTAGCAAAGAAAGGGAATTTTTTAGTCAGATGGGTAACCTCCCATCAGGAAAATGAAACTCCAGCTGGCCACTGGAACAACCAAGTAGATGAACTGGCCGGATTAGCCCCTCCAAGTGTAACAACTCCTGCAGAGAGCTGGGACAGACTGTTAGAATGGCTGCACTTCAAGCCACAGCACGCAGGGACACAAGATCTATGCAGAGCAGCAGGAAGCAGGGGATGGATGGGCAGTGACTCGAGAGATGTGCCCCACCTGCACATCCTCATGTGAGCAGTGCAGAACCCGACTGGAGTGTCACCCTTTAGAACAACACCCATTACACAGAAGAGACAGAAAAGGGCTGAGGGACACGTGGCAGACAGACTAGATTGGACCCTTTAGAAAATCTGAGGGAAAACAGTATGTGTTAGTAGGAGTGGAAGTTGGTCAGGATTAGTGCAAGCAGAAACTTTCCCTCGGGCAACCAGTACAAACACTCCAGAAGCTCTTCAAATGGGGTTCAGTTTTTTCCCAAAACCTGGATCTATCCAATCAGAAAACATGTTACACCTCACAGCTGCCATCGTCCAGGAGTGGGCCAAGGAAGAAGGAATCCAGTGGATTTTTCACACCCCCTATTATCCACAAGCAAATGGCATAGTGGAAAGAACAAATGGCCTGCTTAAATGATTTCTAAAACCTCAGAAATCCAATTGGACTGAATGACTGTGGGATGACTGTAAAAATGGTGAATGAGCGATGGGGAGTAAATGACTGTCCCGGACCCACAGCTTTTAATCCACAGCCTCCCTCTTTGATACCCGCAACATCAAAACATAGTTTTCTATTTTTTCCTGTTTTCCAGCAAATTCACTGGCAATTTCTTTTCCACTACATACTGGGCATTGACTTTAAACCTCGAATAGGAACATGGTTTGATTTCAAGCTCTTCTTCAATGGGTGCCCTGGAATTGTAGCCTGGACTCTCCTTAACCTTTCCTGCACTGCCACAGACCAGGAGCTGCATGGCCAAGTGACAAACTCCCTGATCCTTATCAATGTGCTTCAGGTAAATGCAGAGGAGGAAATTAAGAAAGCAGTTTGGAAATTAACTCCTAATAAAGTAGACAAAAACCTCCTTCCATGGAAATTAAACTAGACAGGAAATGAAACTGGCCTGAAGAAGCTCATTCAGTGATGAAGTAGTGGGACTTCTTTGGACACTTGTGTTGGTTTTCTTGGACACTTGTGTTCCTTCAGAGAATGGAAAAAACCTGCTTCTCCTCCTTGGACTGATACCTTGGAGTTTTGATGTTTTAATTTTTTTATTTTCGTAGACCTTAGAAGTAGTTATGTAGTAAATGTAGATTTTAGAGTAGCAGCATATTATACCTTTACCCTTAACACACCAGCTCAAACCCCTGTTACCCATTCCCATATCAATTCCCTAAATTCCATAGACTGTTTAGTCTCTTTTTCAAGGTAGAATTGTAGAAGAACACCCTAACCCTACGGAAAAGATATAGCCATAGACCCAACAACCTTCAGGCCTAGAATTCTGGAAGGCCTCCAAGGACATTACGTACTCTGAGGAAGAGGAAGATGAAGATGAAGAAGAGGGGGTCCCAAAACGCCCCCAGACCCAATTCCCAAGAGGCTTGGCGGGGGCAGAACCTGGGTGGTGGCTGGACTGGATTGGGTGAAAATCATTATAAAAACTGTGGACATCTCTATTTCGGGCGCGCGCGCTGGGGTATTCCAAAAAGCCTGGGGGCTCATTAAAACTTTTGTATCCTTATCTTATCTCCTACCTAATTTGGCTTGGAGTCTTTTTTTCCCCACAGCCATTTAGGCAACAGACTGATATAAAATGAGGTGGGGAGAGAAGTATCTTCTGTAAATACATAATACCTTTTACTTAAATAGAATTGTTGTAGATATAATTCTTTAGTTTTAGCTTGTTAATAATAAATACTCATACTTTTTTTCAATTCAGTCTCTTTTTGTCTGCATAAACCTTCTCTCAACTGATAGTAATTGTATGGGAGGTGTAAAAATAAATTGAGCTAGGGCAAAACCACGACATTTTTTGGTGGAGAATGCGGGCAGAGACTGCCCAGAGAAGCAGTGACCGAATCAAGCTCAACATTTTTTTGTGCCTCGTGTAAGAATTAGCCATAATAATTTTAAGATAACTGAGAGAAAGGTCTGCAGACAAAAATAGACTGACCATGTGTACTGTAGTTGTAGTAAAAAGAGAATAATAGAGTTAAATATTATAATGATGTTGTTTTAATTTTTAATAGAGTAATTTTTAGTTATAGATTGTTTATTTATAATTGTATGTTTATTGTAGAATTTAAGATTCCTTAAAATGTAATTCGCAAAGGCGAAGGGGGGAATTGTTGTGGGTTTACCCACCAGCCCATCCCTGGGGCTGAGGATGGTTTTGTCCTAGTGATTTCTGAACAAAAAAACCAATAAAAAAGTTCAGTGACGCCTTTGCTAATTACATCTTTAAGAAAACGGAAGAGAAGGTTGGTTGTGCAGTTGAAATTAGGAGCAGCAGCCATGTAGAAGAGTAGTGGGCCCAAGGAGGGCCAAGGCCCCCTCCTCCCCTGGCTTGGGCCGGGGGGTAGGTGTAGTACTGAAGCCTTCCTTCTCTTCTGTAAAAGAGTGAAGAAAAAAAGGTTTAAAAAACGAACTGCTTGGACAGAAACCGCTGCAGAGAAATTCCAGCAAAGAGATAAAGGATTTTCAAGGTCAATTTTCTGGCAGTCGCAGGAGAGAGAAGAAAAGTTTGAAGGGGGGAGAGCTGCTTTTTTCTCCCTTTTGCTCTCCCTCCCTTCAGCAGGGTAAAGACTGAAAAATAAAATCCCTGCCACTTGGAAAAGTTTGTTGAGGTAAAGAGACCCCCCATGCGGCTCACAGAGGAGCTTGTGGATGTACTAGAGATTTGTGACTTTGACAGAAAGAGAAAGCCTTATGCTGGAGCAGAAGTGGCTCGGATGAGGCAGAGTCCTGTTGAAGACTTTGTGACCCTTGAAGGGGACGATGCTTATGCCGGAGCGAGACGGCTCGGGTAAGCTTGAGATCTCAGTGAGAGATCCATACTGCTGGTGCTGAAGATTTGTGACCCTGAGGGAAACCCACGCTGGAGCAAGACGGCTCTGGTGGGATATTGGGATCCGAGTAAGGGATCCAGACTAGACCCATGCCGAGAAGTCTATCAAGGACTGTTCTCGCATGGGGAGGGACCTCCATAGGGAAACAGAGGTGAACTCTTAAACCATTATCCCCTGTAACCCTGTGGAAGAAGATCCATAGTAAGCAAGTGTCCCCTTGCAAGCCTATGGAAGAAGACTCTTCAGGACCTGGGTAACCCCCAGCCTTCGGTTTTAACCCAGGAGAGGGGTAGGCCCAGCCCTAAAGGCTGACACAAAGAAGGAGAAAAAGTTCCAGCTGCGACGAGAGTGCTGCAAAGTTACTGGAGAGAAAGAGAGAACTGGAATTCTGAGAATGGAAAAAGACTGCTTCTCCTCCTTGGACTGATATAAAGGGAGCTGGGGAGAGAAGTATCTTCTGTAAATACATAATACCTTTTACTTAAGTAGAATTGTTGTAGATATAATTCTTTAGTTTTAGCTTGTTAATAATAAATATTCATACTTTTTTTCAATTGAGTTTTTTTTTGTCTGCATAAACCTTCTCTCAACTGATAGTAATTGTATGGGAGGTTTAAAAATAAATTGAGCCAGGGCAAAACCACAACACATGGAAATTAAACTAGATAAGAAATGAAACTGGTCTGAAGAAGCTCATTCAGTGATGAAGGAGTGGGACTTCTTTGGACACTTGTGTTGGTTTTCTTGGACACCTGTGTTCCTTCAGAGAGCCACTGGAAACACTACTGTTCACTCAGAGTGCCACCAGTGCCTTGGCCAGGTCTGCACCAGATTTCACTGGAAACTGAAGAAATGCTTTTCTGAGCCTCTGTCCTGGACACAGGCACAGCCTGATCTTGAATGCCAATGAAACAAAGACAAATTCCATGGTTTTAGTTGCAGCAAGATTGGGTGGTTTTTTTCTGAGGACAGCACTGCACCTGACTCTGTGTGTGTGTGTGTGTGAGACAGGCAGAAGTCCAAATGCCTGCACACCTCAGAACAGTCCATGTGGTGCTGTGCTTTGTACTGAGGAGACCCCAATGTAATCAATACAGGGAAGAGTTTGGATTTTTGGCTTTTTCCTTCTCTCCTGCTTTGTTTGCATCCTGAAAACTTCTCTCTCTAGTTTCACGGAGAAGTGCAGTTTTGGAGAGAGAAAGAGAGAAGGGAAATGGAGGATGCAGAGTTTTGTGCAAGTTTTCCACAGTTGTAGCGGTGGAGTGGGTTTTTCCATCCTTTCTTCTCGTCTGTTGTGGGTCACTGTAGTCAAGTAACTGGTCTGGCATGCTGAGCACATCTTGCAAGTCAGTGACTGTTGTTTCTGTGCTCCCCAGGGTTTGTCTTTGCTTTCCCAGCCTGTCCAACTGGGCACAACCAATGCCGTGGGGATGCTGATGTTGGACTGGATTGGCTACCACATCTTCCGAGTGACCAAGCACCAGAGAAGGACCTTTTCTGTCGTACAGATGGGAACTGCAGGATCTGGGGGAAGAAAGCCAAGGACATCGAGTGCTCCTCCATGTGTGTGGATGGCACCAAGTATTACAGCAAGTTGATGACCTGGGGATTTTGGGGGTGGGCTCGTCATTGCAACTCTGCAGGAGACCTGCTGGGCTCGCTGGCCTATTGCCTGGCCTGTGGGTTTGCACACATCTGGCCTTACTTCTGCATCGTTTCTGTGACCATTCTGCTCCCTCACCTCTGCGTTAGGCACGAGCACCATTGTTCCAGCAAATATGGGAAGGACTGGAAGCACTACACTGCTGCAGTGCCCTACCAGCTCATCCCTGGGGTGTTTTAAGGCTGACACAGAATCCAGGGAAAGCAAAAAAGAAACTTTGTTTTTTGGAGGTGAATAGAGTTTATTGACCCAGGCAAACTAACACCAAGGCTTTGTGAAGGACACTCTGTAGTGTTCTGAAAGAGAAAAGGTGGCTGGACAATTATCCTTGTTGTAGGGTAGGAACATGCAGACAATGCTGTGCTTAAAGTAAATGAGTTGAGGCACTGAAATGCCCCATTGTTTTAGAAAAGTCTTTGACCTGGAATTCCCCCCATACTCCCTCAGCTCCCAAATGACCTTGGGGTTGACAAGTTGCATGTATTGAGAGTCCTGAAGTCCCCCAGAGTTGGGAGGTGGCCTTTCCTTTCCCAGTAGCAGAGTTCTGGAAGCAGTTTCCAGAGACTTGGGAGAGGAGGCAAATAGTTCTGTGATGCCTTTATGAAAGAAGTTGTCTGCTGCAATTGCTTGTGACAGTCAGAACCTATAGCCAGTAAGAAGCCCAAATGAGGATTTATTTATCGTTTGTTGCTTTTCAAGAGATTATCTGGGGAAATGCCAAACTGGAGAAGCTGAAGTTAAATGATTGTTCTAACCTAAAGGAAGTGTTTGTGAAAGTTGGTATCAATTAGCCTGGCTCCAAAGTGACATTCTCAGCCCCTGAGAATATGGTACGTGACCAACTGAGTATTCTTCTGAAGCTGAAACCAAACTTGCTAAGTCTGTGTTTTGGTGTTATTGCAGCACTCCTGGAAAGGATGGTTTAGGCAGGAGAAGAAGGGGCTCTCCAAACTTGGAAAACAAATGTATCTTGTAGCTTGGCTCTGTGTCAGAGCTGGATCTACTCCCATGTATAGAGATGCCTTTAGTGAAAATACAGAGTCCAACACCTTTCCAGCTCTCCCAGGGGCAGTGCTTCCAAGGTGCTTGATTTGACGGAACTCAATCCAGAGGAAGGGAAAACTGAGGAGGGGGACTTCTAGGGCTGTTGGACCCCCTCAGTCTCTGAATTGCTTTAGGCTGCCTTTGGCTTTGCTGGAATAATTGCATGTCTTATTTTCCCAGCTGCCCTTAAGACCCTGTACTTACATCCTTTTCCTATGTAGGCCTGGAAATTGCACTGACAGTTTGCTGTTCATGCCAAGGTTGTTTAAATCTTTCCAAGGTAACCTGGACTCTACATCATGGGAGCCTTGCATGGCACAGTGTGGTCCCTTCTGTTCCCTGCTCTATCCTGAGTGATTAGTGGAAGAAACTGCCCTTCAGAACCAATGAAAATATCTTCAGTTTAAAAATCAATGTCTATTTTGGGAAGGAGTTTTGGGTGTGTGCATTGGATGAACTTTTGTCCTGATATCTCCTAGTTCTTGATCCCATACTGTCACTATCACTGATCAAGTTTCAAGTTCAGCTATCAAATCCCTGTGCCATGCTGGGAGTTTCAAATATAGGAGTGCCAGTGTTTTCAAATGGTACTTCTATCAAAGAGATAAATGATGGGAAAATAGAGCAAAAGCTGCTGGCAATTCCTTGGAGCAGTGACAAATTAGTCTGGTTGGATTACTGTAGGAAGAAAAGAGACATATGGGAACACTGTTAATACAAATGTCCCTATTGTGAAAAGGGCTTCAAGGTTTTGAGTACTGAAATACCAAAAAAATAAACTCATTTATTCTTCCAGGACTCAATTTAGCTATTTTTCCTGTTAATAATCTCTCTTGCAAAGTTGATGTTTTAAGGATTAGAAGTCAGGAATATTCACAGCCCGGTAACGTGCATGAACTCAAGAAAAGTAGTTCCTATACAAGCTTGAGTCTGTCCTTCTTTGACCTGCAGACAAACTTTGTATGCCAGAAAGCAGGACAGAAATAGAAAGGAAGAGTTTAATAAAACTTACTAGGAGTAGAACATGGATATTTTGCAATTCCTGGTTCAAACTCTGACTTCCAAGCTGTATCAAAGCTGTCATGAAAACTGTAGTTGGCTCGATGTTGTATTGCACTGCTTTGACTTCTGTTTTAAGATGAGACCGGTAAATATTTTTCTAGATTTTTGTTTCTCTTTTGCTTCTGTTCAGTAGAGCTTTCTTCTTCTCATGAGCCTACAAGACAGGATTATGGACTGTCCCCCTGGGACCATTCCTGAAGTGCCTGTATTCCAGTGCACCTGGAATGGGAAACCAAGAGGAAGATTTAGACAAAGCTGTGCAGAGAGAATGACAGCTCAGCAAGGGGATGCTGCCAGTGCCCAGTCCATGGCTGAAAGAGGAAGGGTGAATCGAAAACACTTTTACTGTAAACCCATAAGAGCCCCCCTTACCCCCGTACTTCGTTCACTGTAAGCTGTACTTTTGGAGGAAGGCAATGTGCTGTACTAAGAGCATTAGACCTTAAAGGAACCACAACAAACACTAAACAAAGAACTCAACACACATAAATCTCATCCAGAGGAGCCAAGGTAGACATTTGAATAGGTAAAGTAGGCCTACAGCCAAGGGTTTCTTGAAGCTTGAACGATTAGAACACGAAAACAATGGAAAGAACAGAAGGTCACACATGTCACCCGAGGAAGATGAGTAAAATGCAGACCCCAGGATGAAGGCAGGCAGGAACTCCCACCATAATATTCCTCAAAATAGAGACCAATCTCCACCCCGACTCCACCTGCTATGAATATTGTAATCTAATGATGCAATAATATGAGTATGCATGTCATTATGTTGTAATCATGATTAGAAACTGTATAAATTGCTTGTTTTTACTGAACCACTTCGGAGCTTTTTGTCCAGCCTGAGCTGGAAGCTATCCCGGCGTCATTAATCATTCAATAAATACCTGCTGTTTATAGGCTCAAAATTCTGCCTTTAAGGATTTTTTTTGAAGCTGCCTTTTTTCTGGGCATCAATTTGGCGACCCAGATGGGACAATTATCCCTCGGCTGTGGAATCCATTGAAGGTCAGGACCCCTTCCCAGGCACGCTCAAGGTAAGTTTTTACCTATAAAGGGGGGGTCTTCTGTCTTCGTTGGCTTCTCGCAGGAGTGGATAAAGTTCCCATAATCAAAAGGTATTTATTCTGGTTTTAACTTGCATGCACTGGTGTCTGTAATAAGGTGTTCTATCACATGCGCAGGACGCTGCTCTTATCATGTAGAACACGCCATAAGAAGGACGGTTCTTTGGTCTGTGGTCATATTTAGCTAAACACTTGGCTGAATATCTGTTTGGGAGAACTGAGGAATCGGTCTCCTTCTGTTTGGGAGAACTGAGGAATCGGTCTCCTTCTGGTTTCTGGTTTAAATAAGGCCTTCTGGTTTCTGGTTTAGATAAGGCCTTCTGGTTATCTTCGGTTTTAGAATAAGGCCTTCTGGTTTCTGGTTTAAATAAGGCCTTCTGGTTTCTGGTTTAAGTAAGGCCTTCTGGTTTCTGGTTTAAATAAGGCTTTCTGGTTTCTGGTTTAGATAAGGATTCTGGGCCTGGAACGTGTCATATTGTCTTGTCTTATACGTAGTTATTGTGTTGAACAATTGACAAACCACCCTATGAACTGGGGTTTGGGGCACTGTTATTGTGTTAATAATTTTGTGTGTGTTTATTGTCATTTTGTGTTGTCTTGTTATTTTTGGAAAAATTATTGTATACCTGATATATCTTCCTTACCTTGAAACATCCAGGTACACATAGTTAAAGGTCTTAACATACCAAGAATTGCTAACAGTTAACTATAAGCACACAACATTGAATAAGACCTAGAACTGTTTATTTTGTAATTGTTGGTGCAAGCCTTGTGTAACAGATGTAAAGTTTGCCTCCCCGACAAACAAGGTTGGGTCAGAACCAGTGTGCATGTTGTAGAATGCCCTGGATTAACAGGTACAGATACAGGCACAGGAGGGCCTGTTGTTGCTTACAGGGTACTGAGTGAGGGGGGGCCGGCAGGCCTGCCCTGAGGGGACCCACTGGTAAAATTAAGCTAGGGGAAGAAAAAGAAGAATTAGATTTTTTAAATTAACACTGGAGCTACGTTTTCAGTTTTAAATCAAGAATTAGTGCCAAAAAGTGATGAATTTATCCAAGTAATGGGAGCTACAGGTCAATCAGAAAAAGCCTTCTTTCCGAAACCCCTAAAATAAAAAATTGGAAAACAAATGAGAATTCACCAATTCTTATATTTGCCCAATTCTCCAAAGCCCCTATTGGGCAGAGACTTACTAGAAATTCTAGGGGCTGTAATAGAATTTAAACAAGGTAAAATTGGACTTAAGGTAAAGAACAAATAACAGCAGCTCTGACTTTAACAATTAGCTATGTGCAGCCAAGCCAGGATCATTTAAATGCCAGTCAGATTCCTATTCAAACAGAACTACAACCAGGTGCCAAACCAGAAACAATATCCACTGAGACTAAAAGATTGGACAAGGGAATTGAACCCATAATAGAGAAATTTTTAGAATTAGGATTTTTAGAATTAGGATTATTAATATAATGTGAATCAGACGGTCTTACCTCAAGGTTTTTAAAAACAGTCCCACAATATTTGGAAATCAATTATCTAAGGAATCGGATCAATGGTAACGGCCACAGGGAGATGGCATTCTTCTACAATACGTAGATGATTTACTCATAGCAACTGAAACTGAAGAAAAATGTATAGAATGGACAATTGCATTGTTGAATTTCTTGGGATTAAATGGATATCGAGTCTCTCAACAGAGAACCCCGTTGGTGCAAGAAAAGGTAGTATACCTGGGATATGAGATTTCTGGAGGACAACAATCTCTGGGAATGGAGAGAAAAGAAGCCATCTGCCAGATGCCCAGGCCAGAAACAAAGGAAGAATGCCAGCAGAGCCCATCGAGCATGACTGCCTGGAAATCATCCAGGCTGTGTATTCCAGTCGTCCGGACCTTACAGAAGAACCGCCTGAAGATGCAGAAGACTGGTTCACGGATGGCAGCATCTTTATGAGGCATGGGGTAAGACTGGCAGGTTATGCAATAACCACAACAGAACAGGTAATCGAATCAAACCCTCTACCCGCAGGAACCTCAGCGCAAAAAGCAG